AGTAAGGAGTAAGGAGTAAGGAGTAAGTAGCTAGTAGCTAATGGCTAGTAACTAGTAGTTAGTAGTTAGTAGTTAGTAGTTAGTAGTTAGTAGTTAGTAGTTAGTAGTTCGTAGTTCGTAGTTCGTAGTTCGTAGTTCGTACTTCGTACTTCGTACTTCGTACTTCGTAGTTCGTGGTTCGTGGTTCGTAGTTCGTAGTAGTGGCCGTGGTAGTGGTAGTGGTAGTGGTGGGTGTAGCAGTAGTAGCTAGCAGGAGGAGCAGCAGTAGTAGTTGTAGTAGCAGCAGTAGTAGCAGCAGCAGGAGGAGGAGGAGGAGCCCCTCGGCTTGTCAAGATGTTTATAAAGCAGCCGATGCAAACTCACTATCCGAGAATGAACACAACTGTACAGAGCCCACACCCCTAAACCGCGTTTTAGACCGTACCGAAGAGCCCTTGGCCTACGAGCTTTGGTTGTGACCTAAGTCCTGGGCATCGGATCAAAAGCCGGCTTGCTGACGATTCTGAGGTGATGACCCGAGATTCTCAGCAAGTGCTGCAGGCTGGGTTGAGGGTTCATGCGCACAGCAATGTGTGGAGCTTGTTATGACAATCGCGGTCTCAAGAGTCAGGGTCTTAAGGATGAAGGTTTAGGGGTAGTTTTTTCTTTAAGCTTGCTGATGTCTCCGGACTAACGCTTTGGGGTTACACCTACGTCAACAGTGGGGTTTTCTGCAGGGACCGGGGGTCCAGCAAAGGCTTGTGAAGAACACGGGTTTTTGCCGGGGCCGGGCGGATGTGGAAAAAAAAGTATTCTCAGGCTGCCTTGAAATGGCGGCCACCATGGCAGCAGACGTCGCAAATGGTGTCTGGGCTTACTCCACCGCGGCATGCTTCTTCGAAGTTCCAAGAATGCAGGCTGCAATAGGATGCAAGAGCCCAAACCTGCAGCGGCAAAGGGATCCCCAAGCCACCAGACGGGTACAGTCAGGCCCGACAGAAGACCAAGGGAGCCTACCTCAAACAAGTGAGAACCGAACAAAGCCTGAACAGCTCCAAGGTGATGGAGGTGAGAGAACTTTTGCACCTTGCTTGCTGAAGGAATCTTCAGACACTTGCAAACTTCGGAGAACAGGATCCGGCACCCAAGAGGTTCTGCGTGAGATTTGCAGATTCAGCTCAACAGTTCGCATGCCCATGCCCCGCACGAATATCGAAGAACCAGATGAGTACAGATCATGCGTCTAGGATAAAGAACTGAAACTGACCTTCGTGCTTGTCCAGCGAAGGAACGCACTTGCCGGTGCTTACGACGACTGGGATATGGGCGATGGCAAATTGCATCGGGGTGAAGGCTGCAGGGGCAAGCGGCTGTTACGCAGTACGCTGAACAGGGCTTTGGTTTAGAGCCCGGACCCTAGAACTGAGTGAGCGAAGCCTTCAGATCTGGTGAAGTTTCGGGAGATTTCGTCGTTTCAGCTTCTCTGTCCCTGCGATGACGCGGGCATGTTGAGGCTCTGAGCCTCATCAACGGCAAGCTGTGTCGAAGGACCCCAACCCAAACAGACTCCCAAGTTGGAATGTAATTTCAAGGAGCTTCGTGTTGACAGCTTGGCTGTTAGGATTTTCAAAGATTCGCAGATGCCTAGTTTGGCTCTGTGCCAGTCTCTGCTGCTGCTGCAGCCTTGCTGGGGCGCGGTGCCTGGCCGCTGTGGGCTAAGCTTCTTCTCGGTTTTGGAGGGGTCAAGACGAGAGGGGCAGTGAAGAAGGCCAAGCAGAGATTCTCTCGAAGTAATTAGTCAGTTCTCAGTCGTCGCTGGTTTTGGTCGGATACGTGATGGGAGCCTTATTTAAAACTCAAACTGAGGATGCCTCCCAATGACGCCAGAGTGGAGGCCATTTAGAGCTGTCTCGTAATTGGGACGAGGATTGGACTTGTCGCGCCGAGCATGGGAGCCCAGCAAGCTTGGCGTAGGGCAGCTCACTCTAGCTATCCAGCGTACAACGATTGCAAGTTAAAGTTCAGCGGAGTATTACTGTGGGTTCTCCCGGAGCCTTGATTGCGACGCCAACCGTCGGCACAGGAGGTCTGGAATGCCTTGAGCGCTACACAGGATCTGGGACCTGGGTTCCGACTGGGTTGTCGAATCTTGCGCATGCAAAGAGTCTGTGGCCCTCTGTCACCATGCCCCAGGGTGAAAACTAACTATCCATACCGCTGGGACTTCTCGGAACAGTTCACTGGACCCAATACTTGGATTTGAGGTTTCTGATGCTTGGAGTTACCAGCAGCATGCAAAATAACGGCAGTACACTGAGCTGTTACCCGCATGTCCCAGCATGCTCCTCGGCAGCTTGTGCCCTCTAGCTGATCATGGACTGACATCAGCTCTGGTTCAAGCGGAGGAAGCAATCCGTGTTGCTTGCAAGGAGTGTCGTCGGCGAAGGGCTTTGAAAGGTTGTATGTCATTAGATGTAGACTCATAGGATGTCCACCGCCTCTGTCTCAACTCACACTCGGATCGCTTCCGCCTATGTCATCTAGCATGAGCTGTGGTCATGCACATCATGAGACATCTGCAGCTAGGATGTAATCGAACGAAGCATCGCAGGATTCGAGTTCGTCAAACTGTTGGTGTTCCTCTTGAGATTAGTCTACACTGCCAGGGTCATGGTTGGCTGGGTGCCTAACACGGACCACAACTCATTGCTTCATGTAGCTGCAATGTTTATGACGATGCGAGTCACCGTGGCTTTGGTCAGCGGTGAGAGGGTCGAGCTCTGCGAAAACGCAGAGGCTGGGAGGGATGTCGGGCTCCCAACATGTCCCAAGCTTCCCCTCCAAACCACAACTACGACCGCTATCTTTCAAACATCTCAAGCTACCAGGAATGTGAAAGCACAACGAAGCATCTTGATCGCCATGCAGAGCTGCAGCACATGTGCAGTACCTATCCCAGACTCGTGAACCCTGCAGTGAAACTTTAAGCAACCATCCCAGCACGAGCTTCAGCTTTCAGTTCGATGGTCCATCAGCCCCCCTCCCTGTCTTTCGATCAGAATCATGGTCCTCATGTGAAAACAGTATGTGTGTAATTTCTGTCGCAATATTACGTAAAGAACAAGCCGGGTCAGAAGCGGCGCAAGCACAGCTTTCACAGAATGATAGATCGATACTTGGACACTTAGCTGACAGGGCACCAGCGTCGTGCAGCTGCGGAGGGCCGCACAAGCTGCATTCCGGCGCCGTGGCGCGTGCCGCGGACGGCAGGGATTGTGAAGCTCCGCAGAGCTTATATTGAGGATATGAAGGATCTGACTACTCAGGGTCGATCTTCCCGAGTGTTACGAAGATTGACAGCGGGCGTTTGGTTTTCCTAGCTAAAGGTTGTTTGGTATTGCTGGGGCTCAGCTATTTCCTGAGACTCTCATCCGGCAAGTGTTGGCACGAGAGGCCGGATTTGCACCCCAGAGGGTAGCTTTTGTTCGAGTTTCCGAGAAGCCCATGTGGGCAGATCGCAAGCTCAGGCTCGACAAGATCACCGGCATTGCATGGCTGATCAGCAGTCGCGGGGTCACTCGGTCAATTGTTCCGCCAGAGTTTCTTTTGACCTCTTATCCTCACCCTGTTTACACATAAGGCCATCATAGATTGAGTGCAACTGTCGTTGGGTGCCTTGTTGCTTCTTGGTGCGAACGCCGCTGTTTGTTGCTGTTGTCGTTTGCTTTGTTGTTCCCATCGTTTTGGTTATTGTGTTGCTTCTCCCCCTCCAGCTTCTCCTGGTCCGTGTTGATACTGTCACTTCTGTTGTTAGTGGTGGCGGTGGTTCGTGTTTTTGTTCGGGTTTGTCACGTTACAACGTGCACAAGTGAGTCTGTTGTAGGCATCGCATGAACCTCGTTCAACTTTTCTTTTGGCCCTAGGGTGCAACTCGGTAGGGTTGCCTGCACCTAGGACCTCGGTATCAACAAGTGTGTGTTTGCAGTCAGTAGTGCTTTCAGACCATCGTCACAGCGCGGCCAAGCGAGTTTTTCACTCCAAGCTTCCAGTAATCCGTTCGTGTTGCCCTGTGTGGCATTCCTGACCGGGGCGCAAGCCGCAAGCTGCTCTCTTTTGGTTTTTGCTCAGGTGAAGCTGTCTTCTGCCAGCTCCTTGAAGGAGGAGCGGGACTTGGGAGCAGACTGCAAGAGCCTCAGATAGCCTCAGCTCCGCCGTCCCAGGCTGGCTTGCAGGAAGACGAGGTGCTCACAGGCATCCTGCGGCGAGATGAGCTGCGCCTCGATCTGCGTTTTCCCATACAAAAACCAGCGACAATGCTGACAATGTCAGTTTCTAGGGCCCACTCAGGAAGCCCTGAACCCTACAACCAGAGTGATCGGGAGTTGTTTATGCCTTCTTGGTTTACACCAGGTCCTGGTATGTCTTGTATATTCGTGCTGCTGTTTAGCGTTTGTCCTGGGCATAGTCCGTGGTAGTTGCAAAGCATGCCAAGCCCTAAACCAAGCTCCAGTGCGAACACATGCGGCTTGTCGTGTCGGTTCATGTGCATCATGTTAAAGGGCGACCTTATGCTTTTTGCAGACTTTTCAGCGTTCCCCTTATTAAAACGAGCCAGCAAGATGAACCTGCAGTCTTGGTGTGTTGTTCAGAGACCTCCGAACGGTTCGATTCAGAAGCCCCCACCAAGGCCTACGTGGCTTTCGCATTAGTTTTCCATGGTTTTCCTTTCTCTTATGTTGCTCTGCATTTCCTTTCTCTTATGTTTCTCTGCATGAGGAGAGTTTTTGGCAAACCAAGTTGCACTAGTTCATCATGGCTTCCATTAGTTTGCTTCAAGAAGTTGATAGAGAACACCCTGAGAGGCCTCTATATTGAATCCTTTATCGAAGCCTAGAACGTCAGCATCCGGTGCGAAAAGCGCAGTGTTTGCCAGCTGTGCATCCGAGGATCTTTCACGAGAGTACGTGCTCCATCTTGAGGGGGGCAGCCTGGCGAATGCTTACCCGAAGGTCGAAATAGCCCCAAAGCCCAATCTAGGATGGTGCTTCGGGCCAACTCAAGGCAGGGCTTGTGCGGATGGCTATCCCTAGCTCAGAAGAGATTTGGAAGATTCAGACTACAGTACCCTGATACAGGCCCCAACCAGAAGCATCCTTATTTCAATAGCTCGTGAAGAAGATCGTCGCCTCTATTTGAAGAAACCTTGACTTCAACACCGAGGATGGCTCTCTGTTTACGGTTGGCGATGGCTCTACCACCAAAGAGCATCTTGGCCCAGCCATCGGGTTTGTATGTTGAAAATCTAACGTAGCGAGTCTTGAGCTGGTCTTGTGGGCCAGCACTCTAAGAGTTCACGCGCCCTCTCCGAAGGTCACGTATACTTGGCACGCTTGGATGGAGAACGCAATGCCATTTCTAAAAAAGCATCCTCAACCTTCTGCATATACGAAGCTGCACCTCCAGCTTAATTCCTGAGACTCTTCTCTCTTCAACCAAAAACCCTAAAGCTCCTGAAGAGTTGCTCTTAACACTGCAGCAAGTATGTCCATGATCCCCAAGCTTGGATCCTATGTATCAGCTCTACAGATACCAAATCCGACGACCAATTCCCTTGAGGCCCGGCGACTGGGAGGAGTGCGTGGCAAAACCAGAGTACTTGGAGGTGATTTGGCAGAGTTTGGGATCCACCCCGTTTCCGAGGGCCTAAACAGGCTCCTGGGTCTGATTTTCGGCCCTACAGAAGTGGTACTGTCGGTGATAAGTCCCTTTAGCACCCACGTTGCAGTGGAACCTTCACCTGAAACTTCTGGGTCTGTCCAGGCGCGCCGAGCATCATTGCTTATGTAGACACCTCCAACTCACCGAGGACGTGCAGCAGATTGGAGCGTCTCAGGCCGCTTTTGCGGCCTTGTTGGAGGACAGCGCAACCCCTTGCCACACATGCCCGTAAAGCATTCAAGCAGCAGTTGAATACACCAGACTGTTGCGCTACAGCTCCCACGCTAAGTTGACGCTCCGAGTCGCACTTCGGTGCAAACCCTGTGGTAGCTTGCAGGACGGCTCCGTTGTGACCTGGGGAGATGGGCGCTACGGCGCAGACAGCAAGGCTGTGGGGCGGAAGCTGAAGCTTGGCGAGCTTTGAGGGCTCGGGCAGGGCTTTCAGGGTTGACTCCTTTGGCCACGAAGTCTTTGGGTGCTTCTGCATGGTTGCAGCGGTTGGCCAGTTGTGGCTGTGGAACCCAAGATAGGATAGACGCGGCAATCCGTCCGTCGCAATGAAGTGCAGGAGACCTCCAGTCGGCAAAGGTTTTTGAAGAGCATGTAGGACATCCTATCCAGGTATGTAGACCACACTTTCAGAGCGAAGCCGCAGTTGCATGCCGCGGATGGCTGATTGTCATCAGGCGGAGCGGAAGCAGCAGATGTGCTTCAGAATCGAACGCAAGAAGGTGATGTCTGTACGGTGGTCTTGTCGATAATGTCCGAGAGCCTTGGCAAGGAACGGCATTCGTCGCGTCATCGCATCCAACTACGCCTTCGCTGCTGTCTGTGAAGATCGCACGGTGCCTGGAAGCAAACAGTCTCGGATGTTCCTGTTGCTTTTGCTTTTGAGGGGGTCGTTGCGAAGCCGCTGGAGTAGGTAGCATTCCTCGCATTTCCAGGCTTGCATGTTGAATCAAAGCCGAAATAAAGGTAGAGCTGCTTGTGGTCCCCTCAAAGGTCTGCGTTTCTCGGCCGGCCTATTGCTGTCTGGCAAAGAAATGTCTTCAAAACCCACTTCGTGCACAGTGCCAACGGACGTTTGTAGGTTACTGGCGAGGCTTTGTACTGGATAAACGCACTAAGGCCCGCAAAGGCCCATGATCCTTCAAGCAGTAACCTAAACCCAATACTGCACCACCTAAAACGCAGGTGTAACTTTCAAGCACAGCTCACACGGCCTTGGAAATGCCCGGTCGCCCTGCGTTGCACGAGGTGGTCACATGGGGTGACCCTGCCTTCGGCGGTGACGCCTCTCTGCGAAGCCGCCTGAGGAGCGTGGAGGACCAGATTTGGGGCTTCAGGAAGGGTTCGGTTCTGTGGTCCCGATGGAATGGGATGTCCGGCATCCCACGGAAGCAGAAGGGCCTTCTTCCTAGCAGCATTTCTCAGTCCATGAATCCCTCCGGAGCATCCAGGGTGCACACTGCGCGAATTCTCGTTTCTTGAGTGTAGAGGTGGAAGGCCAGCCTCGACAATGTCGTGACGATCGATACCCACCAGCATCACGATGCACAAAACGACTCGCATTCACCAAGCAGCCAGCAACTCACTCCTTAAACTTTCCAGGCTTCTGCCATTACCTTCCGGCAGAGATCTGCAACTCAAGTTTTGCCCAAGACGCCTCTGCAGGACATCAAGGCTACTTCCTGTGCCTTTGCAGCTGTGTTGGAAGATTCCTCTGTGGCGGCCTCTCGGCTTGCGAGAGCGTGGCTTGATGTTCTGGGATCTTCGGTGCTTCTTAGGCCGAGCCTGGCAACAATCTCAAAAAAGAGACCCGTCACAAGCATTTTGTTCCCATGTTAAGAAATGGGATTTTTCTGTAAATGAGGGGTCTCTGCATGTTGCAAGCCAGGCCTGGGGCCACCCCAACGGCGGCAGCAACATTTTGGCGCTCCGACGCTCGCGCCTGAGAGTGCAGCTGAGCCTCGGCACAGAAAGGTGTTCCGGAAGATTCCCATTGACTACTGTAGTAGTCAATATGGTTGCAAAAGGCTTCTGCAAAGTGTAGTGGTGAAGGCTTTACCGGATCGTGTCGCTTCCCGTCCCTACATTCGCGCGCATGTGTTGTGGCATGCCCCTTGGCAGCGGAAGCCGCAACGCCGAGAAAACCTTGCTCGGAGATTTCGAGTAGCAACCGATGGCCGATTGATAGCCATATTACAAGAATCTAAGAAGCTCGCTGTATTGGTCTGGATGGCCATGTAGCGGCCCAGCGGACTCAATAAGTCAGTTATAGGTAGTGCTACGATTGGCATAACCCCAGGTACGGTAGGACTCTCATAAACCGTCCACAGCCCTTTGAACGCCAAAAACACACAACCATTTTTCTCTACCCTTACAGCACTTCCCCTGTACAACTCCCTCCCCGTACAACGCCTTTAATGGGCCTTGAAGACAAGGATTGAAGCCACCTCTGGGGCTTTTGCCGCATTGCTGGAGGACTGGGTCTGTGCCGCAACATTCAAACTCGTGGTTACCTTTGCAGGCTGAGGCAAAGGGCCCGAGAGGCGGTTTCTGACGGACGACAGCTGCAAATGCCCTGGTGTCAGCTCCTTCATGTAGGGCCATGATTTTATCTTGAAGTTCGGCTGCTCGGCTTGTCGAGCAAAGGGCTCGCAACTGAGCTTTTGGGGTTCTCAGTCTGCTTTGCGGGAGACGATGCCAAAAATACAGGAGGGGACGGAGGGCGGCTGAGGCGACCCGGACCTTCACAAAGCATGAGGTTGTGCAGATTTACAGGTGTGGCTGGGGGAACCTGCGGAACCGCACGGAACAGTTGGTACCCAATTCTGAGCGCATCTCCCATCGTGGCTCGGCAATCCGTACTGAACCGCACAAACCCCTAACAAAAAGAAGGGATCCCTTTTGTGCCATTCCCACGGATTGCGGAGGACGGCTCAGTGCTCGCCTGGGGCGATCCCGAGCCTTGGCACGTTGATCCTACATGGTGCAACATCAGATTAAGTAATGCCGAAGACATATCCCCAAAAAGTATGCTTGAGAGGTTCCTCTGACGCCGACATTTCCATTTCACGCTAGGGGATGGCCGATGCTGGGGTTTTCAATGTGGGTGAGCCGCAAATGCTAGTTTTTTCGATGCTTGCTTCCCCTTGTCACTTTGTTTGGGATCGGGGCGATCAATGCCGAGAGAATGAGAAAGCGGCGCCAACGAGCCGAAAGGGACCAGAAAGTGCGAGAAACAGGAGGACACCGCTTGACAAGCAAAGCGCTCGAAAGTAAGAGGGTGTAGAGAGCCTGGCAAAGAGAAGGGCAGAAGCGTGTGAAAAAAGAGGAAGCCGCTCGAAAGGGATTAGATTTTGGGCAAAGTAGCAAATTGCCCGATCGAGACTGGAGATGTTGAGAGGGCGCAAGTTGTTCAAAAAGAATTGAAACGTTTCAGAAACAGTACTCTGAACCCTAAACCCTCAACCCTGGAGCACAAACGTAGGAAAACGCGGGAAGGAGGCTGTAGAACATCTGAGAAAGAGGAAGGAACAAACCGCTCTAACGGGACCGAAGAAGTTGAGCAAGAAACACCTAGAGAAATTGACAAGGGAAGCGTTTGACAAAAAGATCAAACCTGTCGAGCATGAAGTGAGAATTGACACAGCGAATTTGTGCACAAGGCGCAAACCGCTCGAAGGTCGAGGGAGCAAGGCACATCCAGCAAGCCGCTCGAAAAACGCTTGAGAAGTCGACGAACACGAGGATTTGATACCGGAGAGCACACCTCTCGCACGTGATTAGAGAAGTTGTTGGGTTTCGACGCTTGTCTCCCTTCATTTGGGGCTCTTGACCCCGGTAACAGGAATTGCTGTGTTCTCGGTGGTGCAAGAGGATTTTGTAAACCATGGTATACTTCGCTGTATTCATACAGTGCAGTGTTTTATACATAAACTACACATGTGTGCATGCTTGCGTGTATGCACGTACTATGGAGATAGTTTTTTTTTTTGTCGTTGCCATTGCATTCCTCTGGGTCGTGGTCTTCAGTGCATTGCATGCGCCTGTCTCGAGAACCCAGGACCAAGGCGGTGATTGCCGTGCTGTGCGGAAGAAGCTCGTCAACGTGCGGTGGATCGTCTTTAAAAAGGGGGTTTGAGGATCGACCACGATCATACTCATGATTGCAACGACAGCAACAACGACACACATAGATAACAGTACTTAGAGCGCGTATATAGCAAAATACCAAGCAGCCCAGGCGAGGTTGACTGGGCAGCTGTCTGTCCCGCCGAAACAGTGTTGTGTGGAACAAGCAAGATCTTAGTGTTATCCGGAGTGTCGACTCGCATTGTGGCTCATCAATTGTCAGTGCTGCAGCAAGGTTCAACCAACCGAAGAGTGTCTGTATGTAAAGGTCGACATCTCGGTCGAATTTCTTGCAGCTACCGCTCTAAGCTGCTAATCGCTGTTAAAACTGCATGTTGTGTGAAAGCTGTACAGACTGTATGTCGACCTCCAAAAATTTCATACCCAAACCCTGAGACCCACTTGCAGGGAGCTTCGGGCCAACTCGGGTGCCTTTGCTGCCCTCCGACGCGATGGCTGCGTGGCGGCCCGGTAGAGTGGAATTAATTCTGTTTTTTACAACGCTAGTATGAGAGTGTTTTAATTTTTACATATACACACACCTATATCCATATATCTATTATACATTTATATACATACATACATACATACATACATACATACATAATCGTATAGATTGCTGAGTCGATTAGAGAACCTGGGAGCCGTCAACGAGCGGAGCCCGGAACAATCTGGAAGCGGCTGTAACCAGGTAAATGTTTTGCTCCTGCCAAGCGTGCGACGTGGTGCGTCAGAACTCCATGCCGGGTTGTCTAGATTCCCCGAGTTCAAGAGCTCACTTGAAGCGAGGTGGCATGGGGAGATCACTTTACCGGAGGAGATCCGTCCCTCGATATGCAATCAGTTCTGAATGGGGGCCAACCCCTCGCATGAATAGCCAGCCAAGGCTCATGCCCTTCATTAGGATTGAGCCCACAGCAGGCAGTGATTGATTCGTCGGGCCACATTAGAAGTGTCTGCAAAGCATGAAGCCGAACGACCGCAAGCCCAGTTAAGAATGCAGTGGGCTACTGTCTCTGTAACCATCGTACCGCAGCCCGATATACTGGTAGGGCTTATCAACCAGAAGCCGGAACCCTGCGCTTGTGGTATGCAAGCTGACATTGGAAAGGTCGCATGTCATGGATGAGCTTCGTGGCGTGAAGCAGATTCTCGCAGGGAGGTGCATGGCCGTAGAGGTTTCAAACTCAGATCATTGCTTACTGGTGTCTGTAATGATTCCTGAGTGCCGTTTCAAGAGCTTGCCACTCTTGCACATGGGCTTCTGGCTGAGGCATCTGCGGTTGCATGTACCGACATCAGGCAAGCCCCAAGTGAGGTTACCAAAGCCTACGGCACCAAACCCTCATCTCCAAAGCTATACTTCTTTCAACCCCCGGCCCTTAATAACCCAACCCCGCCCATATAAGCCCACCTGAAGTAGGTATTCCTTCGGGGCCCTCCTCGCCGATGGCCGCCGCATCGTGTGGCCAAGTCCCAGCCTTGCAGCGGATCGAGCCTGGGCCGAGAGAGCCTGGTTTTTGGGTGGTTGGGGATGGTTTGGGATCAGGATGGTGCGGGTTCAGGGGTTTAGGACTTAGGAATCATAGGGCTCAAAGTTTAGGGTTTAGTGTTTGGAGAGCAAGCTGTTCTGGGAAGATGCATTTTTTGGTTTTCGCGCATAGGCCGTGGGCTTCTGTTAAGATCATCTCGTTCTCTGCGACACCATTTGAGGAGCTGAGTTGGAGATCCAATCCATCAAGCGATCTCGCGGTGACTCTTTTGCCCCGATGGTTCCCGATGCTCGTCCTTTGGGGTAGACGTTTCGTGGCCGGTTTGAGAGCGGCACTGGGCTCCCACGGGGCATTCCTTTTATTTGCATCTCCGGGTCTCGCTTTGCGAATTCGACCTTCGGCTTCTAACAAGCGGGAGGATTAGATGAGAGGCGCACTTCTTTGCAGCTTCTTCAGAGACAAGAATTCAAGGCAAGTCGGCGGGAGGAAAAGCTTGCAAGACCGGTCTTCGTTCTGAGACAGCGCGGCAGCGAGTTCTGGGAATTGGATTTGGGAACTTCCGCAACAGGATCGAGTTTGGATCGGGGCTTAGCTAAAAGCTGCTGTCTTAACTTTAGACAGAGGTTTCACGAAAGGTCAGCTAAGGTTTGAGAGCTTTTTGTCAGCGTAATGCCCGAGCCTTTGGCAGGACTTGCACGACACCCTGCAAGCCGTTCGGTCGGCCAGCACCGGGACAGCAAAGATTTTGTTTCGCACCTCATTATCCCCTCAAAGGGTTGAGGATTGGGGTTTCGGGTCTAGACTGGGATGGAAGCATAGATTTCGCTGCTGATTCTGCGATCTTGGAACCCGAACTCCACAATCCCACCCAGGAAGCGCAAGGGAACCGTATAATTCGTAAAGCCGACCCACGCCTTTGTCTTTTTGAGACTTTCTCTCTTGTAAAGACCTGCGACTCGGTTGCTCGTGATCCGTGGAGCACAGGCCCCACTCCGAGACACCCTATGCCCTCAGCCCTGTCTACGGAAGCAGTCTCATGCCTTCCCACATCCCCATCGAGAAGCAGAAGCGAGGTGTCCATATGCGCGGCTTCCTCCAGGCACCCTGCTTGCTACCAGCCCAGGCTGAGAGGCTTCGCCATGTCGTCCTCGAATGTCTTCTAGATCTTGGATGTGGGAATGATTGAGGCTTCTTTTGGACTGTCGGGCGAAGGGCAGAGTAGGAGGGGAATCTTCGAGGCAGAGGTGGCTCTTTGAAGCCGAAGCCTTGCAGGGCCCGACGGAGTCGGGGAAGTCCACTGCGAAGATGGTGCCGGAGGCCGGAGGCATGGCATGGCCTGATGTTTTCTGAAAACTCTTGCCCGGAGGTGACGCAAGGGCTGCAGCGTCTGCAGACATTGCTGTCATCGGAGTTGCAGGAGGAGCCAGAGGCGTGCTTTTTGAAGATTTGGGCAAGGTTTGAAAGGCTCCGGCTGCTTTGCCTTCGGATGTCGGTCTTTGGCATTGACGGCTCGGAGCTTCAGTCCCGTGGAGGCGCTACTTTTGCTTCGGATGTCAGGTGATTTCAGGTCTCGGGTTTCGAAGCAGAGATATAACCCTTGCCTCGCAGGCCAGACAGCAGTGAAAGTCCCATTTCCGACTGCGTTCGCGTGTTCGAAAAGCTTGGAGCAGAGAGACGGTTTTTTGGGGCCCTGGCGATGTCGTAGCTAATGGTATCTCAGCCTTGGATCTCCGATGAATCCAAATTCGAAGCGGCCGCTTCTTGAACGAACGGTGCAAGCTGGTGCAAGCTAACCGAGACAGCCCGGCAGGGGTCCGACGAGTTGCACGAGGCGAGGTCTCCCGAGCCTTGAAGCGGTTCCTTCACCGCAAGGGCCTCTTCAATGTTAACTGCGAGCGAGGGAAAGAGACACAGACATGTAGAGACAGACGGGCTTTATTTCGAGCCTTTCGCAAAACTGTGAAGCCAATCTCTCATTGGCATAAGAGGGCAATGCCCTCAGCACATGCTTACTGGGCTTCGGGCTGCGAGATAGCCAACAGGATGCACAGAAGTACAAAGCAGTGGATACTGCGCCAGCTGTACTGCTACACAGCAATAAACAGCAATGCCCAAGCTTGACGGTCTCTCCAGCATTGCTGTGCGACTTCTCACTCGTACCGTTCACGAGCAGTGTTGGCGGTCATGGCCGTTTTGACGTCAGGGTGGGTGTGTGTTCAAGCATGCGCCTCCGCCGCAGGCGGTTGCAGACCAGCTTCAAGACAGAGGCCAGCCGGGGCTCTCTGAATGCTGTTGCATTCTGGGTGATCGGACTAAGGACAACAAGACCAAGGGTCAGGCAGTGCTCAAAGATTTTGTTTTCTTTCCATGGTAGGGTCTACGACTCTACGAGGTATGGTTCCCATCTGCAGGGCTCCGTGGCTACCGACATGGCCCCTCTTTGTCAGCTTCTCCTGAATCCAAAAGAGCTTCATGCTAGCTTGCGGGAAGGTGGAGATGACTTCCGGCTGGAGGCCTCAGGGACAGAGTTGGGAACCTCCGGCAGCTCCATGAGTCAGGCTGTGCTCAACCGCTTTCCCAGAACATGTTACCTCCGCCTGGGGCCCTTCCCCGACGGATTGCAAAACACCACTGCGAGATCGCTCTTCGCAGAAGCCAGCTTGCAGGAGATGTTCGTCCAGCCGGATGGCCGGACTGACTCTGCGCAGGCAATGTGTGCAGAGGTAGAAAGCACTTTTACGTCTTCGTGATGATACAGTAGTAAACAACCATTGGTGCGAAGCGGTTCCCTAACACCGAGATGCAAAGGTTGTTAAGGTTATTATTGTGCTAAATACTCAATCATGATCCTAGCTGACTTCAAGCATCCACTCCACCGTTCCGACGGGACCTCTGGAGGTTCCTTCAATAGGGTGGAAGGCTGCTCCAGGAACAGAGTCTCTGAGTCATGGCCGAGAGCCAACGCGTACCTATCTCGCTATATGAGGGATCGGATTTCAGTGGCACCCTGGCATCAGACCTTGCAAATTGCCATGGGAGACCTCGTTTAAGTCTTGGCGCTGAACCTCGCACTTCGAACCAAGGCAGTACCTGGTCATTCGATCCAAGCCTTGTGGTTTCTCGGGCCCTGAGGCCCCAGAAATGCGAAGCACCCCGAACGCCCTACATTTTGTGAGCTTTTTGCTGTGAAGGCCCTTACTGCTGTGCGACCTAGACCAGTGCTTCAGCTCGAATTTGGCTTCGGGGCCTTGCTATGAAACGGGTCTAGAATTTGAATGTTGGACTGGCTTAGTCCTTCGCAGTTTGGGATGAGTGGAGCCTGCCCGAGGGAGGGTTCTGGCTGAGTTCTTGCTAGTGTATGTTCTACACAAGAGTCCTTTCCTAATGCTTGGAGCCCAGCTTCGTTTCTCCGAGAAATGGACAGGACGTGTACTTTTTGTTTGTTTACTGAGCTTCTCACTTTTTGCCTCCTTCTGTAATGTATCTCGGTGCCGTCGTAGAATACCAGCTCATGATGGACACCATTGTTTCAACGACTACGACACCTACTCCTTTGCAACTGACGTGCCATGGCAACAACAACGAAACAGCTGTTGCTGCTGCTGCCGCTGGTGCTGCTGCCGCTGGTGGTGGTGCTGCTGCTGCTGCTGCTGCTGCTGCTGCTGTTGCTCCTACTACTACCACACTAACAGCAACAACTAGTACTACTACCAATACCACAACCACGACTACGACCACGACCACCCCCGCCACCGCCACCGCCACCGCCACCGCCCCCGCTACCGCCACCGCTACCGTCACCATCACCACCACGCGACGACGACTACTACTACAGCTACGACTCCCTTTTCTAGTACTATAACTACTACTACTACTACTACTACTACTACAACCACTACAACCACCACCACTACTACTACCACCACTACCACTACCACCACTACTACTGCCACTGCTACTGCTATTACTACTACTACACAACCACAGGCACAACCACAATCACACAACGACAACGGCCACCGCCACCGCCACCACCTCCGCC